GGGATATACAGAGGAGCACTCAAAAATTAGTGTTGGTGTGAGAAAAGACCGCTCTCTCGAGGTGTGTATGTGTGTGGAAAAAAGGAATTACACCCCGCGAGTTAGCGGGCGCCACCGAGGGGACTCCCTTTTTCAAAAAAAAAAAGAGGGAGATAGGGTAGTTGCGTATAGCAAAAAGTCCCCCGTGTGGTTGTGTGGGGCACACACAGATATCTTTTCTCATAAAAAAAAAAAAAAAAAAAAGGGGGCGCGTGGGGGTATATAACGTTTTCCCGACACGACGCACACATTCTTTCAAAATATTAGATAAATGGAGATGTGCGGGCTCCCCCTCACGATAAAAAGATGAGAGAAGCGGTGATAGCTCCCCCTAAAGAGAAAATGTAGAGCGAGGGTGCTATGTCTCTCCCTGAAGACACACAGACGAAAGAAAATGTCACGGCTGCCCTCAAAGAGAGACAGACCCTGTGTGTGGCCATCAAAGACACACACATCCGGAGAGCGTGAGAGAGAGTGTCTCTCTCTGTGTCTCTCACGGTATATATATTTCCACACGCACTCTTATATATTTTTATATTTTTTTGTCCGTGTGCGTATATATATATATATATATATATATATATATATATATATATATATATATATATATATATATATATATATATATATATATATTAAGCATTGCATTCTGCATTCTTCTAATTTTCGCCTTTCGGAGCATTGCTTCAATATGTTCTCTCTCCTAATCGGTGCACTTTTTTTTTTTCGGTTCAGCAAATACAATATTACAACCGTTTGTCTGAAAGCTTCAAAGGTGTTTGAGAGCAGAGTCAATGCTTACTATAGAGGATTATATAAAGGGCAGTTCCGTGATATGAATGTGCGACGATTTATCGCGCCTATTGTCGGGCGAGGAGGTGAATTTTGCATTCTCAGAAGAAAATGTTTCGATTTCTTGGTAGTTATCATCAATGGTGGTTTATTTTATTTATTTTTAAATTTTTTTGGGGCTATATTTTTCATTCTATTCCATATCGGAGCTTTGTTAAAGATATGGTGTAGCTATTTATTGTGCACAACAGTTACAGATTCTATGATTGTGGTTGAGGAAACTGACTTTTTTCACTATATACATATATTGCTTTTCCACGATTCCGATTTTTGACTTGACCGTCTGAGTGCTGATGCCGGCAAACCCTTCCCCGACACACATTTTTGTTGGTCTCCCGGAAAGCGCGAACTTTTCTTCTGGACTGGACTTACTTCACTCTATGCTCGTTCTATCACTTTATATTTGACCGAGCCATTTGTGCTACATCAATACAAAACATTTAGATTTTATTAGTAAAATTTGTACTAATTTCAAATTTGTATCTCGTTATTTGTATTACATAAGTAACAACGCCGTCATTTAAATTTATAAATTTAGAGAGAGAAAAAATATTTATTTATTTTACTTCTATGGTGAGGGTACAATTCGCTAAATTAATTTTAACGAAAGGCTTCAAGACGAATAAATAAATATATTTATATATCTTATTTTCATAAATTTTGAGGGCATAAATATCTTATGTTGGAACTTAGGTGGTGCAAAATATAATTTAGCCTAAAGTGGAGCCTCTGAAGTCAAAATAAAATAAACTATATAATATATATATAGGGAAATTAGAGATATATTATATTAAATAAAATATTTATTAAAATAGGGTAGAAATTGAAGGCGGGGATTTGAAAAAGAATGTGGGGCGGGAGAAATCGATCACCGATCACTCCTCCGAAGAATTCCCTCCCTCCTCAAGAACTCATCGACGATCTCTGCAGGTATATACATACATACATACATACATACATACATACATACATATATATAATTGTATACGTACATACATACACGCGCTGCATCTCTGAGTATATTATTTTCTGTTTTATGAATTCGCCCAACTCAGTTGGAAACTAATTTGCCCCAATTTTTTTTTTTCTTGAGTACGCCATTTTAATGTGGGTCTGATTTACTGGGTCGGGTCGGTAACAAATGCAGAATGTGTGATTTGGGCGTAATTTTTTCGGTGGGAGTACTGATTCTAATTTTAAGGGTTTTGAGGAGTACTGATTGAGATTTTTATGTTTGATTTTGACGATTCTAGATTAAAATTCCAGCACACGATGTTGTTTTTCTTGGGGCAAAGTTGTAATATTGACGGGATCTTGTGTCGATGAATCCCCTTGAAATATTATTAGTTTCGATTTATCGTTTATGTTGAGGAGATACTGTAAGAAAAATCAGGGGATTTATTATTTAGTTTTTTCGATTTTTTTGTCATTTGCTGCAATCTTGATGGAATTTTTTGACGAGCCGTTTTTATCCGGTAATTTTTGTTCTTCTAAGATATTTACCGATCATTTTGTTTGCAGCCGTTTGGTTGTGAATACGCCTAAGGAAGATCAGCGCTCTTTCGAGAGGCTTTTGTTTCTTGTGGAGAGTGCACATTGGTTTTACGAAGATAATGCAGTCGAAAACGACCCATCTTTGAAGTCATTAACTTTGAAGCAATTTACTTACTTACGTATCCTTTTACGACTTACATATTCTTGCATCCCCATTTTCTTATTCAACTATAAACGAGGGTTGAAATTGTGATACTGTAATGTGTTTACATATTCTTTAAACTTCAATATTTTTCCTTAACTTGTTACAAGTGTTTAACAACTGCGAAGTACTAAAACCGTATGTACCCTATTTGGATGACATATTTAAGGACTTTACTGCATATAAATTTCGAGTTCCGGTAGCAGGGGCAATTATACTGGATGAAACTCATGAACGGGTGAGTGTTTTTTTTTTTGCTCAAAATTATTTAGTTGCTCTGTAAAAAGCCGTATTTCTGTATGTTTTACTATGTTTTGCGCATGTTCCTAAACTGATTATGAAAAAGGCTTTATATCTCTTTACGTTTGTTATGCTTGATTCAACTTTTTGCCCGAAATGAAAAAGGCTCAAGTGAACAGCATTGGCATTTTCAGTTATACACACACACACACACACACACACATATATATATATATATATATATATATATATATATATATATATATATATATATTACTCGTATATATTTAATGTTCTTGAAGACCTCTCAGACAGATTTAATCATCGAATGCTACATCAGAATAATTCAGCTGCAAAATTGAGAATTTTTCATGATAGCGCTATGTAAACTAGTAAATATGACATGAAAGGCGAGATAAAAAATCAAGTATGATGCTATTATGAGAGTTATGAGAGCGAGGATTACTGAATATGATACTTACATCTTGTGTGTGTAATCGTATGACGGGAGAAAAACTTTATTTTTTATTTTTATGAGCAAGCTTTAATTCTTTATCTATAGGAAATAAACTTATTCCAGGTTTATCATTTGCCTTCGGTTTAACGTGTGTTTTGATCTTCGGAATTGTCTATCTTTGTGCACGCAGTGCTTATTAGTGAAGGGATGGAAAGGGAATAGTTGGTCATTTCCTCGTGGAAAAAAGTGCAAAGACGAGGAAGACCATAAATGTGCCATTAGAGAAGTATGCACGACACGACAGTCTTCTTAATTAAAAGTTCATATTCATCTTTTTTTTTTTTTCTTTCCTCAAACATGTGAACTGGATTTTTTTTTTCTAACATTATCAGGTCCTAGAGGAAACAGGTTTCGATGTTTCGGAACTTCTTAATGAAGACGAATACATTGAAATGTTTTTTGGACAGCAGAGAGCGAGATTGTACATAATTTCGGGTGTGAATGATCAGACCCCCTTTGCTCCCCTCTGTAAGAAAGAGATAAGTGTATGTCTATGATAACCATATAATTTTTTTTTTTTTAATTTAAAAAAAAATTATTTTTTAATTTTTGTTTAAAATTTTTTTTGGTAGGAAATTGCATGGAAGCGCCTTAATGAACTCGGACCAGCAAACGACAATGTCACATCTCGTGGAATCACAGGGCTCAAGCTCTATATGGTTGCTCCATTTTTGGCGTAAGTATATATATATATATATATATATATATATATATATATATATATATATATATATATATATATAGCCAATAGCAATAAACTTTTTTGAAATCTTCGAGGCTTCACTTGGATTAGAAGGTTTGATGGGAGGATTTCAAATCCGAAATAGTAAATTGTTTGGATGAAAAGAATCTATTTACTCCTTCAAACACAAATATTCCCATCGAAAATGAAACTTGAAATATTTTCCGTATTTATAGAAACTAATTAAGAATCATTTTGCAGGTCTTTGAAGTTATGGATTTCAGTACATCCACCTCCAGTAGCACCTAAACCCTATAAACCCCGAAAAGGTCTAGTATTCTTGCAAAACAGCCTTTTGACCCTTTAAAATTTAGATATAGAACCGAAAAGTTGGGTTCTCGATCTACATGTTTATATTATTAAATATTACATTCGAAACTAAAAATACCGCGTAATTCTGCTGACGAGTTTGTCTTGATATTTTTTTTTAAAGGATTTAGCGTGTGGAATGTGAAAAACATCGAGAAGCAGCCAAGTAAAGCAGTGATTAATAATGCCCATCGACCAATAAGAAGCTTCTTAGACTTCCGGTTAGATATTGGAAAGATACTGAATGCAGTGGATTATGCATTCTTTTCTTCTTGAATGGTGAAACCATTTTTTTCTTTTTGAAAGACAACTGAAGAAGTTATATAACCAATACCTTACAGGTTAGTTGCTGTATAATATTGTATAGTTTTCGCATAGCTTATATACTTCGTTCGTTGATTGGATCACATGATTCTTGTTCAGTTTCGATTCTATTATTATTATTAATTTTTTTTATTAATTTTTTTTTTAAATGTTGATGAAGACTCTGGTGACTGTCTTAATGTTTTGTTTGTTATACCTTCAAGATTTGCAAAAGAAAAAAAGAAAAGGAATCAACAGATCAAAATTGCTTCTAAGTTCTAATTTCTAAATGCTACACTACACATATATATATATATATATAAATATGTATGTATAAATTATACATAGTGTTCAATCGGTAATACCGTACCAAACTGTACCGGAATTTCGTTGAGTCTAAATTTCGGTACTCCAAAAATTTGTACCGTTTACTGAATTAATTCGTTAAAGAATTTTAAAATAAAATATGTATTAAATATTTCGATGTTCGGTACGGTTTTTTACCGAATTAATTAGGTTTTTTTGGTTCGGTACCGTAAAATCGAAATCATATTTTAATATTTAAAAAAATGTAAAAAAAAATATATTTAAACAAATTAATTCTTGAATTTGACATTTAAATTTCAATAATCAACTATAATAATAATAAGTGATAATCAATAGAGGCTAATTTGTAAATAATTGAAAAAATTATCAATCTAGAAGTATTTTGTAATTTGTTTATATAACCTTAAAGAATTAAAAGAAAAAAAAATATTATATATTTCGGTATCCGGTATGGTTTGGTATACCGGGCATACTGTAGCGAATACTGGAATTCTAAAAAGTATTTACCAAATACCGATATTTGGTACGTACCAAATTCCGGTTCAGTTCGATTCGTTTTACCGGCCAAGTGAACACGACCGCGAATACAGGAATTCTAAAAAGTATTTACCGAATACCGAAATTTCGGTTCAGTTCGATTCATTTTACCGGCCAAGTGAACACGGCCCTACTAATACACGTGTATGATAGTATATAATCCGATTAAATTTCGATGTTTCAATTATGGTGCTGAAAAAAGCATGAAATATATGTAGTTCATTCATTCAAATACATTTGCTCTATAATACGGCGTCGTTCCAATCGAAGAACAACCCCACACGCGCTCATGTCTCCGTCATTCTCGGCGTGCTGCAGCCTATGGACGCCGCCGCAGACTGGTGGTTCCCGCCGCCGCAGCTCAGGACCTTGATCAACATCCCCCACAACCCCAACCTCCTGTTTCTCCCTCCACCAACAAAATCTCCGTCGCCGTCGTCGTATTCATCCTCATCCTCCTCCTGGTTCTCGAATCTGAACATCGGCGGCGGCGACGAGAACTGGCGGCGTAAGCTCCGCCGTCGGCTTTTGAAATCTCTCAGATCCACCTCCGTCGAAAACCTCGGAGAACCGAAGAAGAGAAAGTACCACTTCGTTTTCCCCGAAGACGACGAGGATGTGAACAGTGACAAATTGATCTGCTTGTTGGTGTTGTACGTTTTCTTCGGCGGCGGCGGCGGCGACTGCGTTAGGGTTGTACCTCTGGCTGCATTACTTGTACTCGAATTCTTCCACATCTCGATTCGATTTTTCCTGCTCTCAATTATTAACAGATCTGGTGAATTGCTGTTGTTGTTGGCCTTTTGGATCAATATCGGTTGATTATTATTATGAGGTTGTTTGTAGGGGATGAGTTTGCCGCAGAAGATGATGTTCTCCGGCGGAAAATCGGCGGCGGCGGAAGGGGTGAACTCTTGGCTGGAGAATTCGAAGTAGTCGTCGTCTTGGGAGGAGGAGGAGATGGAGGTGGAGGTGGAGGCGGAGAATTGTTCCCATTCAGAAGTTTGATCGGTGATGCTGTTGCTGTATAATGGAAGATCACATAGTGAGAGTGTTTCTTCTTCATCTGATTCATGCATGTTTTTTTGAGTTCTAGATAGAGAAGAGAGAGAGAGAGAGATAGAGAGTGGGAGTAATTGATGCAGTTAGCTAGAGAATATTTGAGGGATATATATATATATAAATAAACATAAGGGTATTTTGGTGAATATTTAATTACAAAAAAACTATTGGCTTTGTTGATGGCTTTCTTCTAGATCAATAGAAAAAGTCAGACAACTTTTTGAGGGGTGGGGGCAGCGGGTGGTATACGAGCTGAGCCGCTCCTGATCTCGAACTCAAGTTTTACGAGCTGAAATTTTTTTTAGTTGTTCGTAAGTTCACGAGCCTGCTCTTGAGTCTTGTTTATTTTTTATTTATTTTTATATTTTATTTTTTATTTAAATAATGTATAATTATATAAAATATTACATAAATAATATAAAAAGAACATATAAATATTTAGAAATATATTTAACTTTTATTGTTTATTTTGAATATGTTTTATTATAATCTAAATATTTTTTAATAATAAAATTTAATAATAAAAAAAAATCAAAAATGAGCTTGAGCTCGAGCTCGACAAAATGGACTCGAGCCGACCAAAACAGACGAGCTCGCCTCGAACTCTGCTCGTTCACACTCTTGGGGTGGGGTTGGATTTAGAAGTGGGTGGTTTTTTGAGTTGTTTGTGTTAATATCCTTATATATTTATTTTTATTGTTATTTATTTTTTTAATTTTTTTTCTTTGTGTTTTCATGAATAAAAATATTTCTACCATTCAATTGTTGAGCAAAGTATCCTCAAAATCTCAGAATTTTGAGATTGGGGTTGAGAAGAATCTGAAATGTTAAATGTCGTTTCAATTTTATCAATAATTATTTTGACTTCGAACGTGGTTTTGACCGTTTTCTTGTCTGATTTTTAGCAAAAATTCAAGTTAAGAAAACTGTAGTCCTTTGAGTTAGTTTTGTAATCAAATTTGTATCGGTTAGATTGAATGTCGAGTGATAAAGTTATGCATAAATGAGTTCAATTTCTAAATTTTACACAACTCAAAACAATAAAATCGTGGACAATGTTCGTTGATTCATGCATATCTTTCTTACCGGATAATCAATCTCGGTGATTCAAGTTGGGTTCGGATGCTAACTCAAAGGACTGCAAATTTCGTGTTTTGAGATTTACCGGACATTTATCGAATTTATTAAATTAAAGAATATTTTTCCTAATATTAATAGCATAAAGACATATTTTTGCATACAATTCACTAAATTTGTTTCTTTTCTATATTTCTAGAGGATCAGAAAATCAAAATTGTACCATATATACTTTATGGCCTAATTTCAGGCCAAAAATATAATATTGTTAAACTATACATTTGATTTGTCGAGTTCTTATAAGTTGGATAGTTGATATTCCACCTACTTTATTGAATATTTAAAATAAAAAATGTATTAACATTTGGTCAATCAATTTAATTTAATTTTCAATACAAAGGAATATATGTGAGGGAGATGCTTATATATAATAGTGTACATAGCTAATATAAAATACTACTTGGCACATCAATTTCATAATCAAATGTTGTTTTACTTTAATTATAAAACAATTTTGATTGGAAAAAAGGAATGACCAGAATATACCAAAAAAGATTATATATATATTCTCTGTCAATAACACCAAAACTCTGTTTTCAAAATATTTAAATTTTCAGTTTAAAATGGGTAGAAATTTTCCCTCTAAAATAATGATGGAGACTTGTTAAATATTGGACTATTTAAAAAAAAAATCAGATTTTTTTTTATCACAATACTTAAATAAATTATTATTGATAATCTATACTAGATTAAAATTCTCCAACAATGAGGTAAAATTTTAAACACTGGGATAAAAATTGGATGTTTTCATGTTGTTTACTCATGAAAAAAAAAAAAAAATATATATATATATATATATATATATATATATATATATATATATATATATATATATATATTTATAGATTTACTCAGTGCATTTATATAGTTAGCTGCGGATTTTTGCATTATATATATGAAAAAGAAAAAGTTTACAACATAAACTGCAGCTATATTTTCATTTTCTTTAGTGATAGAAGGTAATGAAATCCAAATTTATCCAATAAATTTACTTTCAAATTATGTAAATCTATCTACAATATTCAAGAATTTAATTTAAAAGACAAAATAAAAAAATTTACCTCCGAATTTATTATGTGATTTGATGAAGGGTCATAATTTTTTTTTTTTTTTTTTGCCTTTTGATTTTTTAAGATGGCTACTCAAAAAAAAAAAAATTAAGATGGAGAGTTACTTATCGGGAAAAAGAAGTGGGTTCGCCTGACCGGAGTAATTATTGAAAGTTTTTTTTTTCCTAGAAATATGGATCCAAATTCTTCGTTAGTTGATTCAAAAAGAGTAATTAAAATTTATTTATTAAAAATATATTAATACTGTACAAAAAAGTGAAATTTCGCCCCAGGGCCTTTATCCCCAGTCCGACATGTTATTGATGGAAGAATATAAGTCATAGTGATTAGGGGTGAAAATTGGAATAGAATTTCCGAATTCCGTCAATTACGATCCAAAAGTATCTAAATTGGAATCATATTTTCCATTCCGATTTCCGAAGTTCCAATTTTCGATTCTTCCGATTTTCGATTCTTCCGAATTTATTTAGAACGGAATTAGAATGGTATATAAAATCAACTGAAATTCCAATTTCCAATCCAATTGTAGTTTCGAATATTTCTATGGTTTTTCGAAATATATAAATATAATTTTATGATATATTTTGTAATTCGATAATATAACTTATGTTATATTTTATATGAAAAATATAAATATCGAAGGCCCAAGCAAATTAAAACCATAGAAAAGATTAATCGGTATCGCAAACTTTATGTTGTATTTTTTTTCCTTATAAGAAAATATACTTTTCAATTTGTTGTTCCGACATGTGTTTTTATTTATTGTGTTTTGTCGAATTATCTTTTGGACTTGCATTTTCATGCAATTTTTTCAAAAATATAGAAAAAAAATTGTTAAAATTTTCATTATATCCGAATTTGGAACAAAATATTATAAACTAATGTAATTTCCAAAATTTTCGAAATTCCGCCGATTACGAAGCATTTCGAAATCGAAATGAATTTTTGCATTCCGAATTTTTTGGAACAGAAATTGGAACCCATTTTTTACTTCCAATTTTTAAAAATTATTCGAAAAAAACCATTTCCGATCAATTCGGTCTGATTTCCACCCCTAATATTGACCTAACTATCAGTACTCGATCCTAGAACCTTACACTTACCACTTCGCAATCAGTTAAGCTATATCCATACGGAAAAAAACATTTCATTATTAATTATGTGACCCATGGATAATGTATAAAATGATTAAAATCCATTTTGTTTTCCACCAAACATAAACACATAACAATCATTAACAATATAGAAATAAATAATGGATTTTTACAAGATACACACTCCAAACTGTTGAATTTGATTGATTACAATCTTTGCACCTACATCTACATTTTTCTTCCAATTATTTTTTTATGTATTTAATTTAACTCTTTATTATTTATTCTGAAATATATTTCAAATTCCATAAATATTCCTATTTTTCAGTCAGTGTGTTAATATTGAAAATTAGGATTAATATTTGTTGAAGAGTGGTGTACATGTCTACTTAGTAGTGAGGTTGATTCAATAAACATTGTACTTAACAATTTATTAAGTAAATTAAACAGTCAATTGAAGTTAAATTATAAAAACTAAGATTTTATTTATTTTTATATACTATATAATAAATAAATAAATAAATAAATAAATAAATAAAAAAGAAAGAAAGAAGTTGTCTACATGTCGTTGTAGACAAGACATTTGTACTTGTAGAAATGTACCCCAACTGCCGCTCTTGAACCGTTAAAATTGGGGTTAGCTTATTAATGGGCCCCATTTCATTTTATTATTTATTTAATTTAAAAAATAAAAAATAAAAAATAAAAAATAAAAAAATAAATGAAATAATCAAATCCTATTACAAATGGAGAAGTTAGGAATTACAAGATTTGAATCCTACACAATTTACCCTAATAGTAAACGCTATGTATTCATTCTCCTAATGATGGTTGGTCGATTTTTTTTTTAATATAATATTGAAATGTTTTTATTTTAAATGGCGTTATAAAATGGATTTCCTAATTGAGAATTAAAAAAAGTAATTGAAAGTTCGGATGTTTTTATAATTTTATTTCAATTTAAATTATTGATTTGTTTTATCTATTTATATGGGAGAAAAAAAATATCTAAATTTGTATTTTTATTTTTATTTTTTTATGAATTATAAAATATGAAAATAAAGTAGAATAATAGTTGTAATATTTCACTCATTAGTCATTAGGTTATTTTTAATTAAAATATATAGAGATTTGTGAATGTCCCAAATTTTAAAGGTAATTTATTTAATATATGCCATTTAATTCCCAAAATGATCAATTTTTAATAATATTTCCATTAACTTTCAAAATTGAACATATTAAATCATAGTAACTCATATTTTAGAGATATATATATATATATTTTTATAATTATGCTGAGGATAACTACGAATTTTAATTATGAATTTCATATTTTACTGTAATTATAAATCAATTTAAATTTTATTAACCAAATAATATTACTAAGTCATACTTTTCAATTAGTTGGACTTAATAAAGAATAAAGACAAATAATGATAATGTGGGTTGCCCAACATTTCCAATTTGACCTTATTCCGTGTTTGAAGCTTTACTTTGTCTCTATATCCAATTTTGTGTTTCTTGCTTTAGTAGACTTGTACCAGAAGACGAAATCTCTAGTCCGACGATTTTTTTTTTATCGAGGAATGTAAATCGTGCTAATTTTACGGATCTGGAGCTGGCGCCCACTAGGAATAAATCGTCATCGAAGTTAAAATTTCCATACTGCAGCTGCCAGTACTGATCACCTTACGCCAACTTACTACCTCCGAAATTAGTTGAGCTGTACCCGTACGAACTTCACTTTGTTACACGGTTTCATGATTGGATGATATTGTTTTCTAAAGAAATCTTCTTGTCAATTATTACTCCATTTTTTGTTTTTATATATTTGAAAGTTCAAAATTTCCCAACAAAGATCAAACATGGAATCCAACAATTAGATTAAAACCAAAATAATGTTCAATGAATTGGTCTCTGAGTTAATTAAATTTATTGATGAATTTTAAAAATCGATTTGCATTATCAGTGTTATGGAAATATCCGACAATTAAAGGAGTAATGTTCGTGCACCTCCTCTCAAGTTGTTTCACTCGTTTTTCTTTTTATTTTTTTTAATTAATCCCTAAAATACATTTTGAATTGAAAATTAAATCTAAGATCTCCTCTCAAGTTGTTTCACTCTTTTTTCTTTTTATTTTTAATTAATCCCTAAAATACATTTTGAATTGAAAATTAAATCTAAGATCTACACTCGGTTCGAAACTGATTACTAAAGGGTAGGTTAAGCTCAAGTTAAGTTTGACAAAAAAAATAAATGATAAAACATTTAAAAAAATCAAGTTGCTCGAGCTTGATTCGGTTCCAATCAAAACCCGTTTGACTCGATTGCCAATCTCAAAACATCTTTAAAGTTTTACAATAATTCAACAAACTTCAAACAATCGACTCAATCCATTTACATTTCTAATGGAATATGCATTACAAAGTACTTATAATTTGAGAAATAATGCTTCTTCAGCTATGTAGCACGGATACAGGAATGCGGACCCGGCGAAAAAGGGAGCTTCATGTACCAAAAAAATGGATATATGAATGTTGGGAAACGTGTAAATATTAAAAATATATTAATACATCCATAAATTTTAAAAATATATTATGACGTTAACTTGTATATATACTTATCATCAATTACATATTTGTACCTACAAATTATTTAATTTACATGTTTCAATCCATTTTATCATTCGATAAATGACATACAAGGCATATGAAATTCTGAATGTATTTTAGTATGAAATTAGCATCTAAAAAAAATTAAAATACCACTAGAAGTAGAGAAAAAAACATGAGATTTAAGATTTTTTTAAGCAAGGGCAATTATGTGTCTTTACTTAAAACGAGTTTTGGATTTTTTAGTATTACCAGAAACGTCCATGAAACTTTTAAACATTTATGGAAACGATCGCAAAATGTTTCTAACAGGTGTCATGAAATTTCGATTTCCGAAACATAGAAATACGTATGTACTGAAGTTTTCGTGCATCATTGATAATTTTGTATTTCATTTATATAAAAAATATAAGAAATTCGAAAGATATGAGATATTTTTTTCTTTTCTTATAAAATAACTAGGTAGAACTTCAAATTCATCATAATAAATCAAAAGCTAATCCAAATAAAGAGCCAATTATTTGTAACGCTTTTAAAAGGACAAACATTATTGAGTACATATAATGAATTAATTCTTTCTAGAAGGATTTCAATAATAGGTACAAAATGGGAGGAAAAAAAAGAAAAAGAAAAGAAAATTCGAATAATTCAAGAAAATAATGAATGACAAAAACCAAGCCAACAAAAAGTTCTTACATCTTCAACATGAACCAAGATTTTTCTACAGAGTAATACATTTCTGTAAATTCGATTAATATCGGCTCGATATCGCAAACAAAATACATTGTTTCCATAAGTACCAAATACATATTTCAAAGAGTTATGTACATAGTTGATGGGTGGCTGTAATTACCCAAACAGAAGGGGGGTTTTCGTAATTTGACCATAGCTTAGGGGGTGGCCGTAATTTGCCCTAAATTTTCAGATTCTAATTCTCGTGAGGCCCTCAAACTTTGCCTAAATAATATTTTCTACCTTATCTTTTTTTCTTTCTTTCTATGGAGGATTTATAGAGTATTATTATTTTCAAATAGCGTATCCATATTTTAAAAAATTACAGTTAAACATTTATAAATTAATAGAGTTGTGAATAGCAACATTCTATTTATTTTATCGAAATATTGAATGATCGAACTAATTATTTAGTACGTTTACACTAACTAAGAATTGAGAGAAATTATTATTTAAACGAAGTAATTAATTAATCGAGCTTCTATTGTAATAAATTAAACCCCCACCAACAAAAAGAAAAAAAGGAAAAAGGCCCTAATTTTTGTATAAATTTATTATTTTTTAAACATAAACCAATTTGTATAAGCTATATTAGAGATAAATAATAACTTAAGAACCCCATTGGACTCCTTGAATTAAAACTATATAGTAAAATTCATAAATAAATATATTACTTTTTTTGAATAGATCGTTGTAATCCGTTTCTCGGTTCATTATTCTCTTATTTCTTCAATCTTTAAAGATATATTTTTAATTATAGTAATTCATTCTTTTGACCTACAATGTTACCCGGATCCAAAATGGATGGATTCGGATACTCATTTATTAAAATTTTCCAAACCCTAACGATTTCTATAAAGAGTTATAAACGGAGCAAATATCCATAGATAATAATAATAATATCACTTATTTAAATAAAAATATCAATGATAATAGTAATATTTATTTTCATTTACTTAAAAGTACTTTAATTGAGAAAAAAAAAGACATTCACAAGTTTTCCAAAGGATGAAATCGAGGAAAGAAAATATAACTGGGGCAAACTTGCAATTAGAGAGACTATAGGGATCAAAATGAAAATTATACCGGCAAAGAAGCCGTTATAAGAGTTAAATTTGCCGTTAACCAGGAATTTAGGTTATATAAGAAGTATTAACTAGATTGCCGCAAATTCACCCTGCCTTCCTTTACTTGTCAATTCCGGCCGACACCAACAATTCCACGCCGGAAAAGGTGCGCATCTCTTTCTCTCTCTATCTCTCTCTCTCTATATATGTAAGTAATTATGTGTGTATGTATGTGTGTGTGTGTGTGTGTGTTCATCTGTTATACTATGCTTTTTCTTTTCCTTCTGAAAACTGTAATTTTACCAGAATCTGGAAGCATCTGAAATAAATCCAGGGTGTAAAAAAATGCTGAATTTTAATTTTGAAGTTCAAATCAAGGCCAATGTCATTCAGCATAGAGGAAAAGTGAACAAACAGTTAATGTATCAATCGAATTGAAATATCGTGTAGATTGATCGGTGTTGATTCCAATTTCTGTTAAAAAAATGTTAAATGCCAATTTTGATTTTTTTTTCGATCCGAAAGGAGTCGTCTTTTATTGTTTATGATGCTCTCAATTATGTGGGAGAATTACTACCTTGTTGGATCAGAGTGACTAGATTTTGTTTTACGGATATAATTTACACGGTTTAGGGTATTCAATAAGTTAATTTTAAATGAAATGAGATGCAGATGAAGAAAAGCTGAATGAAAATCAAAGAGAGAAAAATAAGTTTTCGTTACTCTTTTAGTTGCTGTAGTTTTTTCAATTTTTTGACTGGTGCTAGGGCTCGCATAGTTGTAATCAATTTAACGGAATAAGGCCCGTAAACACAGTAATTGATATGGAATTCATTTTGTCTTGGTTCAATGTTAGATGGATTTGGTGGATGTGCCAAACGAGGATATTACAAGTATGATACAAAGGGCGATGGACGGTGATGCTGCTCAAGTGGATGACTATAAGACTAAGGTTGATGAGCTGTTTGCGAAGGTTGACAATGTAAGCATTTTCTCATTTCTGAACGGTCTAAAATTAACATGATTAATGCATCTTTAATGATCGATTATCTTAAATTCCCTGATAAGTATCTCTTTTTACATTTGATTTCGATCTCTCTTGTGTTGGGTTTTAATCATATGCATTAATTAGATTGCTTTTACAGGCAGTGCCGCAGCCTTAGTATTTATTATTCCACTGGTATCATCGTGTAATTATTTGCTTACTGTGAGTTCTTTTCTGGCTTGCAGCTCGAGCAAAGAGTGAATGAAGTTGAACAATTTTACTCGAATACAAAACTAAACGAATCCAACACTTCTAGCAATGCTTTAACTACAAAGGATAAAGAAAAAGAGAAACATGTTCCCAGCATGAAAAAGCTGCATCAGGATGCTTCTCGTAGAGAGGCTGCTGCTGCTAAGAGAATGCAAGAGCTTATCCGCAACTTTGGGAGTATATTTCGTCAGGCAAGTCTCTTGATTTAGCTACGTAAATATTTTTAACTGTTTGACATACTTTTACTTAACCACCTCCTCATGGGTAAAAGTTTGTAGCCTGAAAATTGCGTTGCGTGCAACCTGCTAGATCTTTTTATGCATTTCCTAGTGCACGTGCTCCTAAAAAATTCTTTTGAGTTTATCACTGTCTGGCTCATTCTTGCTGGACCAAACTCCACGTAGGGTATATGTGTCATTGCTCGCAATTGTTTGCCAGTCAATTTTTCGATAAGGCAATCTCTCGTTATGGCACTTTGTTGCTTCTAGAAAGATCCCTGTAACGTGTATGACTGCCTTGGTAATCTACCTCCAATTAGGACAGTTGCCACGAGAAGACTTATTGTATCCTTAATTAATTTTGTGAGGACAGTTTACAAAGAAATGCCAGTTAAGCTAATGCATGTTGTCCATAATATACCAATGTAGGTTCGAGATTATGAAGGTGCTAGCTTGTAGAATCTGAGGGTGATTACTTTAAGCTAATTCTACTATGACCTCCAGCATAAGCTCACCACCCTTAGATTTCTTCATATAAGCCTATTGCAAAAAGCACGCATTTTTTGACACCATTAAAATAAAAGTCTTATAGGAGTAATGCTTCATACGCTCAATGCCAAAATATTTCTGGATGTTTAGTGATGGGGGAAGAGGAATAGGCTTTCCCCATTTTTTGACATTTTGTCTTCACTAATCTGCAATCTTGGATGGATATCAAAGATATGTAGACGAACGTTTCTTTTTGGATCTCTTCACTAATCTGCAAAAATGACAAATCAAATTAAGATTGTGCATTGTGGTTATTTTCGTCAGAGTTCTTGAATATCAATGAAAGATATTTGGTATCCCCCAAGGGGAAGGACCTTTCAAGTTTATTTCATTTTTTTGTGGTGAAACGGACTTCAGTACTACTAATCAATGTTAGTTCTAACTAATACCCAATTTATCATCTATTGACGTGCATAGCAATCTGAGGAAGTTGTGTTTACTTTTAACTTATTTGTATTTGTATTTAGTATGGAAAGGAATAAACTATTTAATAGAAGTATTATAACTTCAATTATCAAATGAATTATCATACGTCGTTTCTAGTTTTTAGATGACACAGCACAAGTGGGCGTGGCCCTTTATGCAGCCAGTAGATGTTCAAGGACTTGGGTTGCAAGACTACTATAAGGTATAGTCTCTTGCTTCTTTCCTGTATTTTCATCCCTTTTCTACTTTTTGCATGTCGAGTTGCCAACCTACACGTGAAAATTAATGCATATGATTAGATAAATACTCATCCTTCTCCCTTCGCTGCTAAACAAGAAAGCTAAAATTGACTATCCAGGTGTAAAATTGAGCATTTCGTGTGCTGACCATACATGAATTTATGGCATAAATTGTGGCCACACGATTTTGTGGCGTAAATTGTATATTCGTTTGGAAGTAGCTCTTACATCTGATTATTGACACTTGAAAAAAAAGTGCATCTCAGTTTTACAGTAAATATTTTAGAACGTGATGCCTCAAAAGATTTTATTATAAACTCGGATTGATTAGTCCCAAATGATGTATGTCAGATTATTGACAGGCCAATGGACTTCAGTACAATAAAAAACCAAATGGAAGGCAAGGATGGTACCGGATACAAGCATGTCCGCGAGATATGTTCTGACGTACGGTTGGTTTTTAAAAATGCAATGAAGTACAATGACGAAAAGAGTGATGTTCATGTTATGGCGAAAACATTACTGGAAAAATTCGAAGAGAAGTGGCTGCAGATTTTGCCGAAAGTTACCGAAGAGGTAAATTACTTACACTAAGTTGCGGCTTCGCTGCTACTATATATCTCCCTACCATGTAATCCCTCCAAAAAGCAACTGAGACGTTGAATATTTGAATATCTCCATCGTTTGCTGCATCTGTATTTACAGGAAGAAAGACGAGAAAAGGAGGAAGCCGAAGCACAAATAAACATTCAGCTTGCTCAGGAGGCAGCTCATGCGAAATTGGCCCGGGATTTAAATAATGAGGTCTGAGAGAATTTCTAATTTTGGTAGAGACATTATGAAGAAACTATCTTGAGCATTTAGCATTACTCGTGCTTATCAATGAATTGATTATTTGTTCGAAATCTGTTTCAGCTTTATGACATTGATATGCATATAGAAGAGCTCAGAGAAACGGTGGTTCAAAAGTGCAGGTTAGTTAGATGTTAGTCCAGTCGACTTGATAATTCCAGTGTACTTGCATTCAGTAACTTAAAGTGAAGTTTGCTCGAAAAAAAAAAAGAAAAAAAAAACGAGTAAAAAAATGTCAGTGTTATTATTCATGTTCTTGTTTTCAATGCTGAAATGAACACAATTTTGCTACAGGCGAATATCTACATCGGAGAAAAGAAAGCTAGGTGTTGCTCTCTCCAAACTATGTCCTGAAGATCTTAATAAAGCTCTGGAGATAGTAGCTCAAAATAATCCGACCTTCGAAGCTACAGCTGAAGAAGTTGAGCTCGACATAAACGCTCAGGTAAATCTTATCTTTAAGTCAAATCTACCGTTATTATCACCTTGTAAAGGTACACACACACAAACATGGATGTGTATGTTTTTATGCGTGAAACGATGACATGTCTGTTTTGTTTTTTTTCTGAGCAGAGTGAATCGACATTGTGGAGGTTGAAGTTTTTCGTGAAGGATGTGTTAAAGGGTGGGTGTAAGAATTCGAGCAAGGAAGAAGACAAAAACAACATAACTTGTGAAGATGCTACTAACATAGACGATAATAACATCGTCTCGAAACGTAAACGAGAGATATGTGATGCTCTTGCTAAGACCGCGAAAAGACGGAAGAAGAAGCCTATTCGCACTTGAGGATAAAAAGTGTTATTTTGGTTAAACGTCGTAATTTTTACTGGTCGTTTTTTGACCATTTATATACGGCACTTTGACGTGTGAGATGGATTATGTGGCCGATTTTATTCATCTTTTTTTCTTTTTCTCTTTTAATAGATTTTGATTGTTGTAAATTGAATTTTTAATTTTTAGAATTCAATAGATCAATCACTGAGTTCAGTTTTTGAATATTTTAGCTAGAGTTGATGAATTTGTAATATTAATCAAGAATCAAGACTATCAGTGAATTTGAGAAGTGAGATAGAACAAAATTCATTTCAATATGGGAGTTTACATTTATGATTATTTTATTTAAAAAATGCATTTTCATATGCGATAGAGAATCCTACAATTATTTAAAATAAGATTTATGTTGTAACTAATATAAAATTTGGTTATTTTTATCTTAAGCCACTTGAAGTTTATAATTTTGTACTATATCGCTCGAGATTCTCAGATTACCCACTACCTCGTAACTTTCTAAATGATTTATGTAGAGAATAACTACTTATGTTGTCATATTTACATTCTTATGTATTTTTACAATTATCAAACCAAAGAACTAAATTAAATATGTCATTTTAAAATAATTTATAGTATATCGAGTCATCAACAGAAAAATCATTTTGTTTTGGCTTTTGCGAATATATATAACTTAAACTTTTTTTAACAACTTAAAAGTTCAGTAAAAAATCGTCCGTCAAAGTTGAAGTATCTACGTCATCGAATAGTTTAGAAGCTAAACTATAATATCCTAACGTAAATATTTGAATTTATCAAATTTGATTTAATAATTAATATCATATACAACTGATTTATTTAAAATACGATAATTACATATTGACAAGAATTAATTATAGAAAGAATGAAATCATATGCCCCATACACACTATGTGGTTAAATAATATAGTAATAACTAATAAGGGTTAATTACGGTCGCCCCTGAGGTGAGATCAAATTACGAAAAAAAATTCATTATATTTAGATAATTACAATCATCCATCAACTATGATATTTTTACGCGTCAACTTTTACGGGGACAAATTCAACATAATCTTCTAGATTCCGTGGAATGTTCTATAGTTTGTATCCGTTTTGTGCAAAAATGCAGTTTCTAATGCTCCACAATCTGATATATACAAGTTAAGAGTAAGAGAGACGCATCTTATGATCATCTTGTTTCGAAATGTGGAACTCGATTAGAATAAAATAAGTACAAACTGAAGAATATTCCACATAATCTAAAAGATTCCACTAAATTCGACGTATAAGAAAATTCATAGTTGGAAGTGGTTATAAATTATAATCATTCAAACATAAAGGATTTTTTCGTAATTTAACTTTACGTCCACGGGTGCGTACAATAGCATTTCCCCCACCCACACTCTGCTCGGAATCGAAGTACAAATAATTCTCACAGCGAAAACCACCCCCACCACCTCATGGCGGAGAAACCTAATCACGAGGCCAAAAATGCTGCTCCGGCGGCGGCGGCGGCGGCGGCGACTTCAACCAGCGACAATATCCACTTGGATACGAGCAAGGCGGAGCGGCACGTGTGGCTGATGAAATGCCCTCCTGTCGTCTCACGCGCCATGCAGAACAACCAGCACCAGCCTCCGCCGCCGTTCTCCTCCGACGCCGAGGCCGGACAGATCGTCGGCAAGGTTATCGTATCCATCGATCCGCTACTCCCTAACGACGACGGTTCCTCCACCCAGGTATAATACACGTTTTATACCAGTCCTATATACGCTGGATTTTTTTGTATGTAGATATGCGCTGACGTATCGCATTCTGCTTCCGTTTCTCGATTTTGATTTCCCCGACTCCGATTTTTGGGGGTGAATTATTTCTTGTGGTCTTTGTTTGTTGAATTGCCATTTCTTGTTTCCAGAGCGTCTGATTTTGCATGCATGATTTATTTTAATTGTTTATGTTTCGCTTAATTGAACTATAATTGGCCCCTATATTGAAATTTTTTGATGTATATTTCAGGAATAATATGTGTTGTGCCTCTTATGGTTGGAAAATCTGTGAATTTATGCCCTATTTTCGAAACGAGGCGACTTGAACAGTGGAGAAAAAATGATGCCATTTCACTATTTCCAGTTGAATTTGCTCTATTAGAGAGATAGAATTAAAGAGTGATTTGGACATTATTGCGTGGGTGTGCATTTAGGTGGTATGTTTTCCGGTAGGTATATAGTGCACCGTTAACTCTGTTTTGTTTCATAATCATTCATTCATTCATCTGTATCACTGTATGACCACATTGCAAAACGCATCCTCAAACGCATCTTATTGTGCAAAGAGTGGATTGAGGGAGCTATTCTCGAGTTTATATGCACGAATGTTTGTGGATATACATTATATTGGTTGCATCTGTTTCATGGCTATTGCTTTGGGACTATGGGCTGGGAGGTGAACATATTTCACGGGATGCAATTTCTTAAATTCGACTTGCCTTTGAAGCAACCTTGTTTTCATGTTTAAACGCCATCAGCTAATTCGATACATAAAAATGATGGATGTAATTTGCAATTGAAAAGACTTGTTCGTTTTCTCTCTACCTTGAGCGTGTAGGTGAAGTCTAAGATTTTGTCACTTCTTAATGTTATTCATGTATATCCAGATTGTGGTTTCTGTAGTTTATCAAATGAATCGGTTCACCCTTCATGCTTGTCCCGCTGATCTTTTTAGTGGATTAGAAATTCAAAGAAAATGGTGTTTGTAGGAGACTGTGGCAGAGTTCGTATTTTTCTTCTATTAGTTTGATAGGTTTTCGTATGACGCCAAATAGTTGGAATCTTAGCAATTGGGAACTAGGACCTTCCATCCAAATAGTTGAAAAGGGAAAGTCGAGTATTTTTACACTGTTTCCCCTTTAGAACATACTTTGTTAATGAAAAAATTCATTGTTTATTTGAAGCTTTGTATATCATTTTCTACTTTTTATATGTATAGCATCATCTGTAGTAGTGCATGGCATTCTTTGCTTGTTTAATCATATATTCCAAGTTAAGTAGAACCAATGAAGTACAATTGTTTTTCTTTTTTGGAAGTTCTTACTTTAACTCTTTCAATCTTCAACTCTTTTTTTTTCTTTTCCATTTTCATGAATCGTTGAATTCATCATCATCATCAGTTTACAATGGAGTTAGCCGGGAATGCAAACAGTAACATGCCAAGGCGCTACTCGATGGACATGTCCACGGATTTTGTTCCTATGTCTGTTCTTTCGGTGGTACCCCAAGGTCAGACTGTGTTATTACACTGTTTGTGCATTAAACGAATATATCATTTATTTATTTTGTTGCAGTGATGATTCATTATAAATTTAGATATATTTTTCCTATCAGTTGAAAGGTCATGGATTTCAGTCGGGACCGAGGACATCATATTTGTGGTTACATTTTAGCTTTTAGTATTTTATAGATGAATCTCAAATTCAGAATTCCTCTGTTATAGTCTTGTAAAGCGTTTCTTGCTCGTTGATGAGTTTGCAAATACTTCACATTTTTCTATGTTGCTGCTATGTTCATCTTAAGAGCCTTACTGTGTTTTATGTAGTCTGTCTTATTAGGAAAACGAGTCGCAATATCTTTTGAGATGTAATTAGTTGCATTTAGAAAAAAACTTTGATAGTGTTGATATGCCTTCAGCATAAGCTCACCTCTTCGATAATCTTTCTTTTACTTTCTTGGAAATTTTATCATGCTCGGACTATTAAACTACACCAAAATATCAACTCCGAAACTATAAACATTTTTTAGCTGGTATATAGTCGCTAGCTAATGTATTTAACGTTGGATTATTTCTTCACATGATGCTCTTTATCGAGACCTGAACCAAATCTATGCTTTTGTAGGGAAACCTTCGGTGGAGGGAAAAATCTACCATAAATTCGACATGAAGCCTCACAATGAGAATATTGATGACTATGCAAAACTCTGCAGAGAGAGGACAAATAAATATTCGACTAAAACTAGACAAATAAAGGTGGTTTATTGCCTTCTTTCCCTTGGGCAAGGAATAATCATGACCTAGTTTTGTTGATGCGTATAATATATCCTCTGTTTTCGACTTGTTTCGAATCTTATGCAGATCATTGATAACGATAGTGGAATGCGAATGAGGCCCATGCCTGGAATGTTTGATATGAAGTCCTCTGTAGCAGTGGTACTTCACTTCATCGTTGTCTTCCGATTTTAAATAAAAATATTAGTGGAGCTGATTATATTTGTTGATGAATGTACATAATTAACCGTGTTTACTTATGAAATGTGGTGTTATATGTGATGAATAGGAAAAGAAAGCTCCAGCAAAGGGATCAGAAACGAAACGAACAAGACGAGACCCTGAAGAAATGGAGAAGATCATGTTTAAGCTCTTTGAGCAACAACCAAATTGGACACTGAAACAACTGGTTCAGAAGACCGATCAGCCTGAGGTATGTCATATATATATATATATATCATGTTCTCCCTTATGATGATGCTCGAAGGCAACTTTGTAATGATACTAAAATTTGGCCGTAAAATTACCGCAAAAAATCACTGAAATACATTTTACTCGTGTTTATTGTGTCGTTTGTTGGGAAAGAATATTGGCACGGACGAATGTACTTATACGTGTCTATATATCGATTTACATGGCAGCAATTTCTTAAAGATATGCTGAAGCTTCTGTGTGTATACAACAACAAGGGAGCCAACCAAGGATCGTATGAGCTGAAACCTGAATATCGAAGATCAGAGGACAAACCAGATACATAGTATATAATTCAAGATTTTGAAGATAATTTTTTTTTTTGCTGGAAATAGTTCGTCGTCGCACAGCATTAACCACTTAACTCGAGAATTTAGTGTTTTTTTTTTCTTTTTTTTTTTTGATTAGTGATCTAGTAATACTATGTTTGATGGAATTAAAGGCATGTTTACTTTGTGGTATTAGGTTGGATAGTGGATATATTAGTTTACCCAACTCAATACCGTGTTGACTCGTTCGTTAATATACGTGCCCACTAGTAAACACCACTTTTGCTGACTTATTTTGCTGCTAAACTAACACAATTTGGGTCTTATTTAATTGCTCTTCACTGGCATGGCATGCAAAGAACATTTATAAAAGTCCTTGTTTGGTTGTCAAGATTAATCAACATAAAATTAAATAATCTAAAAAAATCCAATTATACTATTTAATATTCGATAATTCGATAAAAAAATATGTTTAGAAGGCAAGATAAATTATAATAATATAATATTTGCAGATTGACCCGATAAATTATTAGGGATACCAAAACATTAAATAGTGTTCAATTATTTAGTTAATTATGACTAATCTTCCCGATCAAAGGAGACGTAAGTTGACTAATGCATTATGGAAGGATATATTGATATACATGTTTGGTTGGATGGATTGAATTAGCATTTTGACTATTCAACTATCCAATTCATTCAAAGGCATGATGCATGTTTCATGTGGCTGATTTATTTATTTATTTTTATTATAATCTCCTTATGATGCGTTAGTCACTCTGCTCTATAACTGTACTTCAATAATTTATCTCCAAATAAAATAAAGTAGTAATTTATTTACAAGTCCTTTCATCACTAAAATTCTTTCATATTAGAACAACTCTTCTTTTTTTGGGTTAAAAGTCTTTGACCAAAAATACAGACTGCGACTAAATTGTGTTCTTTTGTTTCGGGCTTTGTAGCCCGAATCTCTAAGTTTTTTTTTTTTGGGTCAAAATAGCTATTTTTACCTCTAAATCGGGATGTTGATCGTCCATATTGATAACCGTAACTTCATTAATGATCTTATTGGATAATAGAAACTATAGATTTACAACACCTATTTATCAAAAATTCTCCCATCACTAATTTTTCTTCATATTTTCCAAAACATTTTTTCCTGTTAAAGACATCTTTTTTTTCTTCTTTTCGTGTTAAAAATATTTCACCAGAAGTACGAATCATAACCTACAAATCCTACACTCCACGATATGCTAATCGAGCATCTGATCGAGAGCTTAATCATCAGTTAAGTTCTCAATCGAACCAATGGATCCCACGACTACCCGCATTTGGTGACGCCTATACGAGGAACCACAATTCAATATACTCAAGTTTTATAGCTTACATACATACATAAAAACTAAAAAAACAAAAAAAAACAAATTGATGTTCGTATAGCAATACAATTATATTACGAGGGCCTTCTACCAAATTTCCCATTTCTTGAAATATTCAAAGAGTCAACCTCAATAACTTTTTTAGGGGTAATATGATAGGAGTCCCTCGTACGAAACCTAATTTGAACTAAATGACAAGTCTAAATCCAATTTTTTAATTAAATCCCTATATTGAAATAATATATGACTCACATCCTTAATTTTTTTTAATCCTTATCTTGCCCTTGCACCCTAAATCTTATAACCCACATATTCACGTTTCTTCTCAGATCTATTTTTCCTCTTTATTCTTCTTCTTTCTCTCGTCTTTCTGTCTCGCTCTCTCTCTCTGGCTTTCTCTGTCTCGCTCTCTCGATTTATTTCTCTCAATCTCAAGATATCTCTCGCTACACTCCATCTCATGATTTGAGAGGGGGTGGTGGTTGTGACGATGGAATCGACTATGATGTTGGAGGCGGTGGCATGGGGGGAGGGATGGTGATGGCGGGCGGCGGCTTTGGGCCGGCGACAGCGGTGAGCGGCGTTGGTCATGAGAGCGGCGCTCGGGGCTGGGGATGGTGTCGGTGGTTGTTAAGTGTATATTTATACACTTAATTATACCTTTTAATTGGAGCTTTTGGTGTGTTTTTATGATAATTGGTGCTTAAAATGGCTATTATTTGTATTTTAGGTGCAAATTGGAGAATTGACAACTTTTGGGGTGAAAACTGCAAATTCAGAGAAAAAGTGGGCCAAAAGTGAAAAAATCAGATTTCCTGCAGAATTAAAGCCCGCGCGGCCGTGCGGATTTTAGAGTTTAATCTCACACGGCCGTCCGGATGGTCGAATTGGCGCAGTGAAGGAATCCTAATTACACAAGGAAACCCGCCCTATTATAGTTTTGCACCCTATTTAAAGGCCACAAGCACTCAATTAGAGATATCTTGACCTTTCATCTTTAATCTTTAGGGTTTTTATTTTTAATCTTTCTACACGCAATCAAGGAGCACAAGAACGAAGACGAAGACTTGACGAATCTTCATCATAGTTCTCCTCTTTTATTGTTATTTATAGTTTTATGATTTTTCGTATTTTTATTATGTTTTTCGTAACGAACATGCGTAGCTAAGTTTTTAATCTAGGATTTTGTTGGAACCCTATGTAGGGATTGTGAACCCTTTTTCTTGAGATTATGCAATTATGATTTTATGATTATTTCTTCTACTTGATATGATTGTTAGTGCATGAACTTGATCAATTTATGTGCTTTATCTGTGATTATTGGGATTGACTTGACAGAGCTATTTTGATAATTAGACGGTAAGTATAAGAGCCTTCGAGTAGTTTTCACCGGATGAGTGTGTCAATTGCATGTGGTGTCGTAGACATACAGATATTACCTTAGGTAGCCACTTACGAGACTTGTTAGTTAATGCTTTATTTATAATTGGTTTGCATAGACATATAGTGAATCGTTTATGAATAATAGACTCATAATACACGCGACAGCGGGTTATGAGTAAATTAGTGTCTCGGGTTAATAATCATGAATCATATATTTCATAATTGAGGGGTTTTGGGTGAGCAATTCTTGCATAGGGGGAAGATAAAATCCTAGATCCGTTTATTATTGACTTTTTCTCGTGATTACTTGTTTTCTTAATTATTTTAATTTTATTAGTTAATTAATTTGACAACCTTGCGTAGGCTGGATAAAAATCACAATTGTTAGGATTTGGTACTTAGGATTAAATAATTTGCGTATTCCCTGTGGGATCGACATCCGACTCTCACGAGTCTACTTTACTACTTGTTTGCGATACGTGCACTTGCGTGTTAGGTATTTAGCACCCAACAAGTTTTTGGCGCCGTTGCCGGGGAATACGGCTAAATTATCTATTTATCCTAATATCAAATTTAAGCAATTTTTCTTACTTCAGCCGTTTTATTTATTTTATTTTATAATTTTATTTGCTTATTTTATTTTTATTATTTTTGTTTAGGTACTTTTTATGCGAATGGAAGAAGAGAATAATCGTAGGGGAGATGACCAAGGGCGCTTACCGAATGCGGCAGGAGAGATCGTCAACGAGCAAGAGCAACGTCAGCTAATTAATCCACCACCTCGTCAACGAGCATTGCATGAGTACACCGTTCCAACACTCAATGGGTTTCAATCAAGCATCCAGCAGCCCCCCATTGAAGCCAACAATTTCGAAATTCGAGCGGGACTACTTACTATGCTCCAAAACAATGGGTTATTCAGCGGATTAGCTCATGAAGATCCGCATCTCCACTTGGTCAACTTCCTCGAAACGTGTGATTCGCATAAGATGAACGGAGTGTCGCCGGAAGCACTGCAGCTCCGCCTCTTCAAGCACTCTCTCCAAGGAGCCGCAAGAGAATGGCTACAAACTCGTGCACCGCATTCCATCTCGTCTTGGCCCCAGCTAGCACAGCTCTTCATGAACACGTACAACTCCCCAACCAAAACGGAGAAAATCCGGAGAGAAATACAAAACTTCTTACAAGAAGCCGGTGAAGCGTTGTTCGAGACGTGGGAGCGATTCAAACAATTAATTCGGAGATGCCCGAATCACGGTCTTCAAGAGTGGCGGCAACTTCAAATATTTTATGATGGATTGCAAGATAATTCGAGAACGGTGCTCGATTCAGCAGCTGGTGGTATGTACATGAGCTTGACATATGACGAAGCTTACGAACTTTTGGAGCGAATCGCTAGGAATAAATACATGCGGGCATCGGACCGGTCAAATAGCGGAGCCATAAAGACGGGAGGAATTTTGGAGTTAGACGGAGTCACTGCAATCACGGCCCAATTGGAGAAGCTATCGAAGCAAGTAGCGGCTTTGCAGGCTCAGCAAGTCCACGCAGTCCAAGTTCCCGACCAACGCATAGAAGAAACGGAGTCTTTGAATTATGTGCATGACACCAACCGACAACAGAGGAACCCGTACCCCAACACGTGCAATCCCGGATGGAAGGATCACCCCAACTTTGGATGGGGAGGGAATCAGCAAGGACAAAGGCAAGCACCACCTCAAGCTCCACCCCAAGGAGTTGACCTCGCTGACATCTTAGCAAAATTCATGACGGCGACTCAAGCATCCATTCGAAACCTTGAGACACAAATGGGGCAACTTGCAACCCAACTAAACGCGAGGCCGTCGGAAGCACTGCCGTCGAATACGAAAGATCCTCGAAAGAGCAACATCGAGCAGTGCAATGCTGTGAGTTTGCGAAATGGGAGGCAATTAGAAGAAGTTCCTAAAAAGTCCGTTGCACCACCGCCTATTGTAGAGGAGCCCAAGGAAAAAACCGAGGTCGGGCCAAGCAACACAAAGATCACAGTAAGTGAACCTACTCCCAAGGTACCTTTCCCTCAACGTTTTCAAAACTCTAAGCTTGATATGCAATTTCAGTCATTTTTGGATTATCTTAAAAAATTGCATGTTAATATTCCTTTTGTTGAGGCACTTAAGCATATGCCGAATTGGGTTAAGTTTATAAAGGAACTTGTATCGAAGAAGATGAGGCTTCCGGAGTGTGCAGCAATCATAGACCTCAATGAGCAAAGTAGTGCTATCCTTGCAAATAAAATTCCACCGAAGCTTAGAGATCCGGGCAGTTGTACCATTCCATGCACAATAGGTACTAGGTATTTTGGGCGGGCGTTGTGTGATCAAGGGGCGAGCGTAAATTTAATGCCTTTATCAATTTATGAGAAATTGAATTTAGGAGAAATTAAGCCTACTTCCGTGACCTTGCAGCTAGCCGATAGATCTTTTACTCACCCTTTAGGTATAGTGGAGGATGTATTGGTCAAGGTAGATAAGTTCATACTCCCGGCCGATTTTCTAGTACTAGACATAGAGGAAGATGAAAATATTCCCCTTATCTTAGG